CTCCTTCATTAGTGCCGTGGTAGCAGCAGCTTGATTTGGACGGACGGAGGAGAGAGGAAAGGAGGATGCCGATGCCGATGCCGATGCCGGGACGGGATGGTGGGATGGGATGGCTGCGTGCGCTTTCATCTTTTCACTTTGTTCTGTCCCATTCTTACCGCACAGAGAGAGCTTTTGATCCAGTTTTTGTAGCAAGTGTTGTTAACCCGCGTGGTACTACTAGTTATGGTGTGGAGTAGGTGGTAATTATGGTGTGGTGTAGGTGAGCTTAACACGGCGGGCAGGCCAATTTTCAAGTCGCGGCTGCTGCTTTTTGCGAGGACTTAAGGACGGGCGCGCTGAGCGGTGTCACGTGAGGGACACGTTGGTTGGAGTGGGGCGGTGCCTCGTGAGGCTTAAACAATCCCCGCGCGTCAGTCAGTGGGTTAATTACCTGCCGGATCAACTTGTGATTAACATATTCATTCACGATTATGCTACATTCACAGACAGATGCTACACGGCATCATCTCCATCGGGGCAGTGTAGTAGCAAGCAAGTCCTTTGATTTGATTTGAGAGGACGATTTGAAAGAGACTTGCGTGTCACACATTAGCTGTCTGTCAGTCAGTCAGTCGCTCTGTGTGTTTTGTGTGTGTCTTGGTCTCTTTTGATCTCGCTTTGCTGTTGTTTGTACCGAGCTTTTGGGGCATGCATGAATGATGTGCTAAGGCCTTGTAGTTCGAGGTTTAGTTCGGGGTGTAAAGTTTTGAGACGTCATTTTAGGTGTTACTCCTATATAGGAGTGTCACGTGGGTGTTCTGATACTAATAAAAAAATAAATTATAGAATTCATGTATAATTAATTATTTTTTAGTTTATATTTAATACTCCGTGTATTTATTAAAATATTTGACGTGATAGGGCCTAAAGTTTAGAGGTGGGAGCTAAAGTTAAGACCATGGGTTTGATTTGGTTTAGACCCTCCTGACTCTCCTGCATGCAGGCTGATGGGAAAGGTGGCCTCTGATAAATGTCACAAATGGGTCTTCAAGGAACCTTCTGAATGCGAGCCCAACATCTCCAACTACTGGCAGAGCTCTTTCGACGCAGTACGTACCATCATCAGCTGTGCCTCTGCACCCCTCTTCCTTTCTCTTTCTGCGGTCGCTGCCCCCCTGCTTTGGGGGTAGCCAGCTAGTAGAGGAAGGGAGCTTCCATGCACGCCACAGTAGACACTAGTACTCCTAACTTGGAACCAACGGTCAGCTCCATCCCTGCTCATCAAATGTCGGAGTACTTTACCTTACAGCTAGTGGCATATAGTGCTGCCATGCCGTGGAGTGTACGTGTTGGCGTGGGCCTGCTGGTTTACAGGACCGCAGCGTGGCGATTTTGGAGTTTTTACTTGCAATCCATCCTTGCACTTGCACGCGGCGATACAGCCGAACCAACCCAAATAAAACAGCAAAAGGATAGAGACACCACGCATGCTGCATGCACTTGCACATCCCCGGCCGGGGAGCTGAGCTCTCAGGACTCAGGCTTTGCATCAGATCTGCTCCGCGAAAAGAAGAGAAGAATTGGATGCTCCATGCATCTGAGTAGCAATCGCCGGCCTGTCACCAAGAATTAACGCCACGATCGCAGTAACCTTTATTCCTGCGCTGCACTTACCCAATTCCCTCGGCTTTTGCTTTTGCAGCTTCCTCCGGAATGGACCGATCAGTTCGCATCAGGCATCCAGGCAAGAGCTAGCTGTTTGATTTATCTGCCGAATTTTCATTTTCATTTGTCTCTCTAATCAATATTTATATAATCTCTCGGTGATGTATATTTTTCCTGTTCTGCTGCAGACCATAGCTGTGATCCAAGCCGGGCATGGCCTCCTGCAGCTGGGCTCTTGCAAGATTGTGAGTGCCAATTCAAGGACCTCTCTCTGCTACCACCTGTTTCTATGCTTTGACCTTTTGTTTGTCGTTTCATTTGGTCGTCGAGGGCGTGGACGTGGACGTCTCAGCGTCTCACGGAAGCGTAGGCGAAGCTACTGTAGCTAACAGCGACGTGACACTGTGCGCGCGCAGATACCCGAGGACCTGCACTTCGTGCTGCGGATGCGACACATGTTCGAGTCACTGGGCTACCAGTCGGGCTTCTTCCTCTCCCAGCTCTTCTCGTCCTCGCGGGGCGCCTCGTCGACGCCGCCGTTCCCGCTCAAGCAGCAGCCGCCTCCGGCCGCCGCGCGTCCCCCGCCGCAGCTCTTCAACTGGCCGGGCCACCAGCCGCAGCTCCCGTCGCCCGCGGCCGCGGGAGGAGCGTCGCCGCTCTTCCCGCCCGCCCCGGCGGGCGCGTTTCACCCGTCGTCCGCGCGGCCAATGCCGCCGTTCCCAGGCGGCGGCAAGGACGAGGGCCACATGTTCCACCTCCCACCGGCGCACCATAGCAGCAACAAGCCACCGCACATGGACGAGCAGCCGATGGGGGGCGGTGGCGAGGCGCCCGACGGCGAGCTCCGGTGGCCCAACGGGCTGTCCTTCTTCACCGCGCTCACCGGGCGAGCGGACGACGCGAAGTTGCTGTTCGGTGGCCCCGGCGGCGGAGGCGCCGCGGACGACGAGAAGGCGGCGCCGCCGGACAACGCGCAGACCGGGCACGGCGGGGCCGACAACGTGGAGGAGTACCTGAGCCTGGAGAGCCACTCCAACAAGGCGAGGAAGGTGGAGAGCGCCGCCGCCCAGAGCACCAAGTTCAAGAGGAGCTTCACGTTGCCCGCGCGGATGAGCTCGTCCACGTCCACGTCCCCGTCCGTGTCAGCTTCCACGGCGCCGCCGCCGCAGCAGCGGCAGCAAGGGATGGAGTACCGAGGGCCGCACGAGGGCGGCGTCTACTCGGACCTCATGGAGACGTTCTTGGAGTAGCTAGCTGGCTAGATCCGTACGTAGCATGCATGATCGACCTGTTCGATGTCACCACGAGAAGCGTACGCTTTTGTTTCTCATCGTCCTCCCATCTCCCAAGCTTTGTTTCAGGTTTGGAGTTTTAATCCCATAATATGTTTAATTATATTTGTTTTTTCTTTTCTTTTAATCGTGTCTTTTCCTCTTCTAGCTAGTAGTTGTAGCAGCTCGATCGTAATGCAAAAAAAACTTGATGGATACATGCATGCATGCAAGAAGGGCATGAGTCTGCTTCCATGATGGCTGGCAATGCAATTCTATGGTGCAACCGCCATGATGGCGAGGTACAATGATATGCAACACCCAATAATTTGGGCTTTTCGCGCCAAAAGCTATCTTGGTCACAACACTGTTGCCCACTTATTGCCCAGGCCAGCCTCCGTTCTGCACCCGCATTTCGGTCGCACCAGTACCAGCAGCTGCAATCAGTCAAACCTTGCGCTTAATCACCCAACTGCACTGGCATAATTTCATTTTGCATGGATTATTAACACTGTCCACTGACCAGTTAACCTGCTCGTAACGTATGGATATATAATCCCCGTACGGAGCTAACTACCTAGCGTTGCTCGTAAGAAAGCGAGTGGTACATTTACGTACGTGCATCGTACGAACGTGTCATGGGGCCTGCTGGCGAGTTTTCCATGAAATGATGAGGAAGTTGGAGTGTCCCAAAAACTGAAAGGAGATAACCGGAACGCATGCATTCCCTCTGCACGCGACAGAGAAAGTGAGAGTGAGTGTGTGCCGAAACACTCGATTGCCTGCCTCACTCGTCTCGGTGTGTCATGTGTCAATGTGTGCATGCATGGCAGTCAGGTTAGCTGCCTGCATTTTTCCTGAAAGATTATATGAAGAACACATAGGTATGGGTAACGTGCAATTTGATTAGATCCCAGTTAGCACAATGTCGCGCGGCTGCATGCATGCTATCGCTCAATGCTCGTGCAAATGCTGATGAAAAGGGTATGGATCAGATCTGGTTACCATTTGTTTAGTTTGTGTAGGTCAACCACGAATCACTTAGGTTAGGTTGCCGGATCGCCTCAAAGTAATAATAAAACATTTTGTAATCCCTTTGTCAGTAGATATACTAAATTATGAAGAACTATTTTGATTGGTCAAGTGTAGTACATAGCATCATTAGCTTTTATTAAAAAAAACTATACCTACACTGCAGCAATATTGGCCCAAAAGCCCTTCCTAGCTAATCCTATTATACAGACAGGTAATATTATGAAAGTAGCATTATAATCTCTCTCTGTTCTAAACTATAGTTTATTTTAGCTTTGTCATAAGTCAAGCATCTCTAATTTTGACCAACTTTCTAGAAAAAACCATCAACGACTACAATATCAAATTAGTTCCATTACATTCTCTCTATGAAAATATCTTGATAGAATATTTATTGAACTTATACATGTTGATATACATTTATAAATATTTTATCAAAGTTAGGTAAGTTTGACTTACTATATATAAAACCAGTGGCGGAGCGTGACCCAATATTAAGGGGGGCTAATTCAATGCTAAACACTACAGTATTGCCTACTCCTACGTCTCTTGCTCTCTGTTGCCTCTTCCCAGATACTACTAGGCTTTACCTACTTTAGTCTTCATCAGCATGCTACTACTAGTCCTTCGTGATTTTGCGAAGACAAGCAGGGGCCGGAGCCCAGTTTTGCCTCTGCTGAGCTCCGTCCCTGTATAAAACTGAAATGATATATTATAATAAAAAGGACCGTGTAAACAAAAAAAATCGCTAGATGACATTTTACTGGGCTCTCCTTGCAGTTGCAGGAGAACAATTCATTGGGCTCCCATCCTACCGACGTCGTCTTTGGACTGGGCTCGAAAAGCCGATTTGAGCCACAAGCCCATTAAGAAGGCCCAACTCTATCAAACAGAAAGCCGCTTCCGTCCGTGCCGTTGTGAGACTGTCGTCCGGGACCCGCGGTGAAACCATCTGCTCCTGCCCACCTCTCAACTGTGCAATCCGGCCGCTGGCCGGGATGCAGCGACCCGAAGAGATAGGACAAGCAACCCGCCGCTGGCCGGAGCCCGATGGCGCTGCTCACGCCACCGCTCATTCCCCTTCTCTCGCCGTCTCGCCACCGCGTCTCGTCTCCATCTCTCCTGGCGGCCGGGGCAGTTCCCAGCCATCTCATTTGTCTCTTCCCCCACAGTCACCGTCACCACGATGAACTCTGCCCGTCTGGCCCCAATGTCTGGCCGCTCCACCGGCGCCGCCGCAGGGGCGCAGCTGCTTCCCTCGACCAGGAGGAGTCTAGCGCCTCTGAAACCACAGTCGCTCCCGAAGAAGACCCAGGGCCACCGGTTTCCTCTGACGCGGCTGCTGAGGACGGGGTCGCGACTTCCGCCGAGCTGGCGGACACGAGCCCGGAGGACCTGGAGAACATCCGCGAAATCAAAAGGGTCCGCTGATTCCAGCCTTCGTTGGCTTGTTTTGCGTCACTGGAATTAGTGCTTACTGACTTTGCTTTCGTTTGGCTCCGTTGCTAGGTACTGGAGTTGCTGAAGAAGAACAGGGACATGACCTTTGGCGAGGTAAACTAGCTGCTCTCTTGCTTGATTTTTGTGCTCATTTGCATTAAAATACATTGCTCTAGTTGCATTCATGTCAGTAGAATAACAAGTATGACTTGGACCGTTGGACGTTTGGAGTGATTCAGCTGGCAATATTAGGATATAGACAGATAAGGGCCTTATCCTACGCCTGTGTACTGATCTTATATATGCTAAAATAAAGGTGTTGCCATCTTTTGTTCTAGCTGCGTTACACTTTCCAAACTTTATAGCGCTGCGCCGCTGTATGTTCCTTGTTGCTTATTAAAAAAAAAAAACTGACACTATATTGCTACTTCTGTTGCTGCATCACATTCACAGGTTAAGCTTACTATCAAGATTGAGGACCCTAGAGATATAGAAAGAAAGAGAACACTCGGGATAGAGGATCCTGATGAAATTACTAGGGATGATTTAGCTGATGCTTTGGCTGAGGTACATCGCCGTTTCCCTACAATATGCTACCTGGAGTCCTGCTGAGAGTCTCTTGAAAGTGAATATTATTGTTCTTTCCGTTTGTGAATACTGTGGATTGCTTACTGGCATCATCATCTAGCTTTACCACCGGCAAATATTTTATGTATTCTAGGTGCAATGTAACGCTCCACTGAAATTAAACTAAAAATGCTACCTCATAGTCTAATGTTGTGGGTATAAAATTAATAATGTGGACCAGAAAGCTTAAGTATTCCCTTTCATTGTGTCATGCGAGCCATGTTGTCTTTCTTTCCACATATCATTTTGAATGATAGTGCAAAGTCAAAAGATAACATGAGACAATTTGCTATAAAACTCTGCCTCCATGTTTATAATTTTGCTCCATGGATGAGCTATCCCCTATCTATTTTGTCTCCCTATTTTTTCTTAAAATTTTGCTAATCATATCAAATTCGTATTGTAGATAGTATCAACTGCACAATAGATGATACATTATGATCTCTGCTCCCACCCTGAAATATATATTTTGAACAAACTAGCACATGACAGTGCCAATTTCATCAATAGAGAAGAGTTACAGCCCCCCAGAGGCTAAACAAAACTGAGGAAAGAATTATACAAGTCCCACCCTTAAATATGTCACGGAAAAAACAAGATGCTGCTTGTTTTTAACTGCAAATAACAGATTCATATGGAGACAGTAGCCATATTGTTACAAAGTTTGTTGTCTAGGTTCTCAACAAAGACATAATGATTCTAGATTTGTAGAGCCCCAATTTTAAAAAATAAAATACTGATACATTATCCACCTTCATACTGCTAACGTGCCAATGTGACACTTCACATGAATTGCACCTGTGTTAGCTGCTACTTGGTCAGAGCACATAATGATAAAGATGTAATTTCTTGCAAAAACCTTGAGTCACCAATGCCCTGCTTGCATATATAGGTTAATGAAGGAAGGATTCCAGAGAATCGTGTTGCACTTCAATTGCTTGCGAAGGAGATGTCAGAATGGCCAGACATTGAGGTAAATAGTGAGAACTCAATTCTTCTCCTTCCGCCCGACTGCATTACCAGCAAGAGTCCACTAATGTCATTTTACCTGAGTCTAGGATTGTTTCACCCATACTTCGTTGTTGCCTTCATTTTATTTAGTTTTTTTATCTTTCAACATTTTCTTGAGTAGTGCATTCTCTCTCTCTACTCAATGTTTTTAAGTAGAACTCTGTTTTACTGGATTCTCTCTCTTTCTCTCTCTACCGATTGTTTTAAGTAGAACCGTATTTTAACATTGAGTTTCCGTTTTCGAATCCATTGTGCAGATAGAAGCTCCAAAAAAGAAGAGCAAACCTGGGAAATCTGTCTATGCAAAAGCCACAGATACTGGCATCGATCCTGAGACAGCTGCTAAAAGACTTAACCTCGACTGGGACTCTGCTGCTGATATAGATGGCGAAGAGGAGGACGATGATGAAACTGAAGTGCCGTCTGCAGTGGTAAGTTTGTGTTTGAAATACTCCAACAAATTTTGTTGTACTCATGATTATTATGGGTAAAACAAGCAAACAAAACAAGTTTCAACGAAATGCACATACCTTAATGTTCTTATACCACTTATTTTAACAACGTATTCTTTTGTTTTGTTCTGCAGGGATATGGTGCTCTGTATTTGTTGACAGCTTTTCCTGTTATTATTGGAATCTCAGTCGTCCTAATTCTTTTCTACAATTCTCTGCAGTAGTGAACCCCTGTGCTCCTCCCGTTCTTGAGTGAGAATGTGAGATGTTGCCTTCTTGTAAATCTGAGTTTCAAGGCTAGTTAATCAGAGTTGCAAGGCTACTCAATTTTTCCAGCTTACACCAAGTGTTGCAAAGATATGACAAGTCGTATAGATGTGAAATTCCAAATTTTGGAATGAGTCTTGAAGATAGTTTTTTTTTTTTTTTTGTAAAATATAACTTCTTGTTCTTTGCCAATAATCTGAACGAGAGGAATTTTTAATGAAGAATATGTTTGAATAAAAGAGTTTTTTGTCCAGATTTGATTGACTGGGTTTTATTCAAAATCCTGTAACTTAGTAGGAGGCACGAACAAAGAGTCAATGCTACCATGTACTAGCTGATAATGTAATACACCAATGAAACAGCTGATACAGTTGTGTAGACAGAATTGCGGGCTCGCTGGCCCAACCGCCCAAGACTCAAAGCTTTCAGATACGATGAAGTGAGAAGTCAACCGAACAGCCCACCGACACAGCATGGCTTGGAGATATAGTTTTCAAACGTGCTGGCACAGCACTACACGGCACTAGCCTGCCCCGGCACGGCACGCTAGGTACGGCTGATGAATCGTGCCGTGCCGTGTCGTAGCCACCGTGCCCGACTCCAGAGCCAGGCACGGCACTATCATTTCTGGAGCGTGCCGTGTCGTGCTATGCCGACTCCAGGCTCAGCGTGCCCGTGTCGGCCCAGGCACTAAACTGGCAAAACCCCTCAATGAACTCAGCACAGCAATTCAAAGAGATCTAAAATGACTAAGTTCACAAAAGATCAAAAACAGATCAGAACACAGCACAACAAAGAACACAAACTTTTGAAACTAAAACTAATTTAAGTAGGAGTTGTGTAATGGCTGCCTCATTAAAAACCTATTTAGGTAAAACTCAACTTTGTGAGAAACCCTAAACATGAAAAGAGTATAGCTAGCTCCTAGATTAATTGTTCATTACATCCATCACCACAAGTCCAAGTCTCAGTTATTATAGAACCATTACATAAATGGGAAATGAACTAGTCGACATCAAGATAAAGACCAGCAAAGGCCTCTTCCAGCTCCTTGTCCTCCACCATGTGCTACAGTCTTGTCTCAGCATTCTCCCAATCCTTGATGTAGATAAGCGCCTCTACAGTTTCAGGGTTCAGCCTCCGTCGCCGCTCCTCGATGATCCTGCCAGTTAAGCTAAAAGTAGACTCTGTCAAAATGTCTTTAGCAAGAACAGAAAATACTGAATAAGTAAGCTTGTGCTCATGCCACCACTGCATGATGTCAAACTCATCATCCAACTGGCTTACTGTGTCACAGTCCAGGTAGGATGCAAGTTCACTAGAGTTAGAACTAGCAGTTGCTGCCTGCAACAAGGAAGTGGCAGAAAACACTCCTAAAATGATTAAGACTAGAAGGGAGGGAAGAACAACCAGCTCTAACATCCAACTCCTCATCATCATAAATTTCAGCCCAAGCTGTTCTTTTCTTACCAGACAGGGATGGAGGAACAACCATTTTCAGCCTATTAGAGCCATACATTACATCATACCTGTTATACATTTTAAACAGAAGAGCTCTGGTGTCCAGCAACTTATTAGTGTAGTCAATATTAAAAAGAGAATGTAACTTCCTAAGCACTTTGGTAAATCCCTTAATTTTAGCTCTTGGATCCAATATGAATGCAATAGAATAAAGATCAGGTATGTTCTTCCAGTACTTATTGTATTTGTCAATCATAGGTTGGATAATAGATCTTAGATGTTCATCATGTTGATACCTATGCAGGTGTATAACAATCTTAACAAGATGATGAATCATAAGTGAAGAAGTAGGATAGTAAACACCAGACAAATCAACAGTTGAGTCATAGAACACTTCAAGAAATTCCAAGATTTTATTTGCCATAGCCCAGTGATCATCAATCAAAAGAAAACCACTACCTGAACCTTTAGGGTAATTGGCCTCAATGAAAGTACTGAAAGTACTCTTGTGAGGCAGCAAGTGCTTAAGCATTAGGTAGGTAGAGTTCCATCTAACATCCATGTCTAATCCAAACTTTCTAGGTCTAACACCACTAGCAATGCAATAACTCTTGTATGCAGCAATTCTTTGATTAGAGGAGTTCATAAAAGAGATTGTTGTTCTAAAATCCTCAATGAGAGAATTCACAGCAGCCAGTGCTTCTTTCACAATCAGGTTAATAATATGACAAGCACATCGTTGATGCAAAAATAGATCAGAACCTAAATATTCTTTAAGTATATGTTTCAGTTTATCCATAGCATTTTTATTTGCAGGTGCATTATCCAAAGTTACAGAAAAAACCTTGTTAAGTATACCATACTCAGCAAGGACAGATGCAACACGCTCAGCAATGTTCTCAGCATTATGGGACACATCAATCAACCTTAAACCAAGTACCATTTTCTCTAATTGTCAATCAGCATTAATGAAATGAGCCACAACAGATAAATAATCTTCTTTAGCCTTTTCAGACCATATATCAGAGGTAATAGCAACAGATGAAACAGCATTATCCTTTAAACAGACCATCAGTTTATCACATTTCTCATTGTAGTATTTAAACAGATCTCTACCAGTGGTTTGCTTAGAGACAGGTGAAAAATTAGGGTTATGAGCAGTTTTAATATAATCTTTAAATGCCTCAGTTTCACCAATCATAAGAGGTAGGTCCAATCTAGCAAGCATACGAACAAGTTCAACACGAGCTACCTCAGCACTGTACTTCCAACGATGAACAGAACCATCAGAATTAAAAGCAATATGAGTCTGAGTCATGCCTCGGGTCTTCTCAAGTTTCTTAGGACACTTAGCAAGATGTCGAGTAAGATGCCCAGTGCCATGAGCAGAATAAGCAGAGTAGCGCTTATGGCAATGAAGGCAAGTGACAGCAAACCTGATCTTTCTACCTTTCTCAGTTTTGTAGTGCTTCTCAAAGTCCTCCCAGACAGCAGACGTGGAAGGGCGATTAGAACCGACAGGGCTAACCTCGCTCTGGCCACCGTCGGCATCAGCCACGTCGACTGGGGGTCAGAGTCGTCGACGGGAAGGGGATCAGTAGCAGAACGGCCGAAGAGCACGGCAGCGTCCTCGCTGATATCATCGTCCTCATCATCTCCGACCATCCCGCACATACGCAGCTCGTCGTTCTGGGAGTGGTCAAACTCCCCGTCATCGTGTCACCCAGCGCCTAGGGCCATCTCTGCCGTCTCCGGTTCCTCGACGGCTGCCACAATCAACAGATAAAAGCAGGGTTAGGTTGGGGATTAGGGTTTGGGTTAGGGTTAGGGTTAGGGTTTACCCTTACCTCTACGGCCGGAGCCCCATAAACGATGACGATGAGACGGACCGATTGCACACCCCTGGTACCTCAACGGAGACCGGAGCCCTGGAGGTGGCGGCAGCCAGCTATGTGGACGACGGATAGATGATGGAGATGCGGCGAGGATGCCGAGAACGAGGCTCAATTGACGTTCAGGGATGAAGAATAAGGGAACAGATGGAGATTGAGGGCGGGAACCACCGGATCTGAGGGAGAAGAGGGAGATTGAGGGCGGAGAGGGAGAAGAGGGAACCACCGGCCACCGGAACTTACCCCTTACCCGCCGGAAGACTCCATGGTGACGGCGTCGAGGAGCCCAGGTTACGAGTGCGGCGAAGAGCGGCGAGCAGGCGAGGAGCTAGGGTTACGAGTGCGGCGAGGAGTGGGCGAGCGACAGAGTGAGCGGGGAGAGCCAGAGAGGAGAGGGCGAGAGGCTAGGGTTACGAGTGAGGGGAGTGGGGATAGTGGCCGCATCGGACGGCTTATATACCGGACCCCCCGGCCGCCCGGTGATCCAACGGCTCACGCCCCGCCTCCGCGATCCGACGGCTGCGAGCCGTGCCTGCCCCGTGCCACCTGTTGGAACGGGCCGTGCCTAGGCCGGCACTACGGGCTGACCTTTCGGCCCAGGCACGGGCACGACTACGGGCCAGGCCAGGCACGGGCACGGACGAGGCCGGGCCGTACCGAGCTAGGGCCGTGCTTTTTCGCACCGGGCCCCCGTTTCGCGCGGCCCATTTGGAAATTTATACTTGGAGACAATGTTTTCCTGATGTGCTCTCCGCCATTTCGTGAAGCCCATCCCTCGTGTTTTCCTTCTCATTCTCATGGACGCACAACTAGAGACCTCCGGCAAGCTCACCTTTCTTGGTGCCATGAGCCAACAAGATGCTTCTTCCTTCAAGAGAGAAGGATTCCGCTCCGGTTCATCGTTCACCGACCTCTCGAGCAACGCGTCGTCGATCAATTACCGGAAGGCGCCGCAGGACAAGATCGGCGGAGACGGCTTCTGGTGCGGTGTCCTGTGCATGCACCTGCCGGGCTTGTCCAGGAGGCGGCCGATGCAGATGCAGCAGCAGCAGTCCATGAGCCTGAGCGAGGCGGATGACACCCGGGCGAGCATGGCCGGGCCAGCCGGGGACCGTTCCAGCACGGTGTCAAAGGCGGCCTCCATGGAGCGGTTCAAGTACAGCTCGTCGTCCTCGGGCACCGTGTTCGAGCGCCCGGACGCGGGCGAGGAGGAAGAGGAGGTGTCGGCGTACTTCGACCTGCCGCTGAGCTGCTGAGGATCAGCAGCGTCGACATGGAGTCGCCCGTCACGGCGGCGTTCGTCTTCGACGGCAACCGTGGCCGGAGCGCCAAGAAGATCGTGCCTGAGATCCCGGACTTCGATTTTAGCTTCCCCGCGCCGCCGGTTTTCTCTAATCCTTCGTCGCCAAGATCTTGAAACTACCAGAGAGGAGGTGATCAATATCCCACAAAACTCAGACTACTACTGAGCGAGGATCATGCAACAGCTTTTGCGCTATATATGCGTTGTGCTTTTGGTGTTCGTGTACATGTCGTCATCTTCTTTTTCTTGCTGTGTATCAGATATGCACGTTGTAGGCTAATAACGAGGTTGCAATTGTCATGGGTCTGATGATTAGTTCAACTTATGCAACTCTTTGTTCAAGCACGCTGTGCATCTGAGATGCTCATAGGCTAACGAGGTTGCAATTACCATGGGTCTTGTGATTAGCTCAGCTTATGCAATTATATGTTCTATCACGACAAACAAAGAAACCACCATCAGTTTAGTGTCTACAGAAGCACAATGCAGGATGCAATAGCATTTGCTATAACACGTCTCTTCCCTTTGTTCGTTTTTAGTAGGTGAATAATTAGGATTAGAAAGGTCTTTCGAGGCGTAATTTAATCAGCGATTTCTCTTACAATATATCAATTGCTATGAAAACAATGTTATGTGTTAAGAGTGCATAATGGAACCAGCCTAGCTCGTAATGGAGGTTGTGCTTGATTTTAGCATTTACTTAAAAAATTTACAAGATTTTTGGAGGTATAATTTTTTATTGTTTTGAATAAAAAATATTTTAAAAAGCAAAGTATCTTTTTTGTTCTCCCTATAGAAACAATTTTCATGAAAAAATATTTTTCTTCTGCAAAAATAAAACTCCTAGAGCATATGGTCTTTGGAAATTGTTCCACCGGCAACCGGCATCATATTATCTTTTAAATTCAGCATATATACAGTAATATTGTAAATTTTCATATAAAAGTGTAAAAGGGATTGTCTACTCTGGACCCGTGTGAAAATCCTCTGTCTCACACGAATTAGTGTTTTGCTTTCTTTTTCTTCTTTCCAAATAGCATGCATGTAAGGGAGTAAATCTAATATTCGGGTGAAAAACTTTTCTCCCACATCTGAATTTTAGTTATCGCCACTATGTCAGTTTACGTTGGATATATACTCAACATGTACAAGTTATGGTGATTATTTTGTCGTAGTTATAATTAGGATTGCGGTAATACTCGGGCCTGCGTGCGTTACCAGCCCAACAAGCCTGCCTCCTTCTCCGTATATCTCCCTCGTCTCTCTCAAAAATATCTTCCTACTTGCTCGCCTGTCTCACGCTTCACAACGATGTATGGCCATCAGCCCGCCTGAAAGGTCCTAATATGGTTAGAGCGGGGTGAATAGCCTATTTAAAATTCTACAAATCAATTAGAGCAATTTGATTAGTAAGACAAATAGCGAAATACAAAATTGCTCTAGCTCTACGAGGGTTGCAAGCCACCTATCCAACAATTATAGTTGCAATGATTACTAGACACACAACTTGCTATGATACTACTCACTAAGAGCTCTCAATCTTGCTACACTAAAGAGTTCCATTAGATGAACTTAAATAACGAATCAAGCTCTCAATTCTAATTACACTAAAGAGCTTTCCACAACTAGTTTGCAAGAATATAAGAGAGTGAGTAGGGTGATTATACCGCCGTGTAGAGGGATGAACCAATCATAAGATGAAGATGAAATCAATCACCGAGAGAATGCCAAATAGCAAGAGACAACCGATTTTCTCCCGAGGTTCACGTGCTTGCCAACACGCTACGTCCCTGTTGTGTCGACCAACACTGGGTGGTTCGGCGGCTAAGAGGTGTTACACAAACCTCGTCCACACGATTGGACACCGCAAGAACCTATCCACAAATGAGGTAACTCAATGACATGAGCAATCCACTAGAGTTATCTTTCGACGCTCCGCCAGGGAATGTACAAATCCCCTCACAATCACCGGAGATGGCCACGAACAATCACCAACTCATGCCAATCCTCCACCGCTGCACCAAGTCGTCTAGGTGGTGGCAACCACCAAGAGCAACAAGTGAATCCCGCAGCGAAACACGAATACCAAGTGTCTCTGGATGCAATCACTCAAGCAATGCACTTGGATTCTCTCTCAATCTCATAATGATGATGGATCAATGATGGAGATAAGTGGGAGGACTTTGGCTAAGCTCACAAGGTTGCTATGTCAATGAAAATGACCAAGAGAGTGAGCTTGAGCCAGCCATGGGGCTTAAATAGAAGCCCCCACAAAATAGAGTCGTTGGCTCAATTATTGGGTTGACTGCGCATCGACTGGACGCGCTGCTCGAATGCATCGAACGCTGCACTGGACGCACCGACCGTGAATACCGGACGCGTCCGGTATGCCGTCTGGACATGTCCTTTAGCTCCCAGACCGCCACGTGTCCAGTTCAAACCAAAGTAGCCGTTGCTGCCCACACTGCTGATGACCGGACGCTCAGACCGGACGCAGAAATTGAAATGACTGGACGCTGAGCCGCAGTGTCCGGTCGAGTCCAGAGAGTACCCAAGGTCGATCGGACGCGTCCGTTAGAAACTGACCGGACGCTGAGCCTCAGCATCTGGTCGAGTCTAGTAAGCACCCACGATCGAGTGGACGCGTCCGGTCACTCAGGACCGGACGCAGCTAGCGTCCGATCAACTGTTTTATCGAACAACGACTCTGCTGATTCACACCGGACGCGTCCGGTCGCTGAGTCCATCGTCAATACCAGACGTGTCCGGTCACTCTGTGACCAGCGCGACTAACTCATTTTCATCTCTATCTTCTTCATCCTTCCTCAAATGTGCCAACCACCAAGTGTATCACCTTGTGCACATGTGTTAGCATATTTTCACAAACATTTTCAAGGGTGTTAGCACTCCACTAGATCCTAAATACATATGCAATGAGTTAGAGCATCTAGTGACACTTTGATAGCCGTATTTCGATACGACTTTCACCCCCTCTTAATAGTATGGCTATCAATCCTAAATGCGATCACACTCTCTAAGTGTCTTGATCACCAAAACGAAAAGGCTCCTACCATTTATACCTTTGCCTTGAGCCTTTTACATTTTTACTTCTTTTCCAAGTCCAAGCACTTGATCATCACCATGCCATCATCATCATCATCATGTGATGATCTTCATTTTCTTCATTGCTTGGAGTAGTGCTACCTATCTCATAATCACTTTGATAAACTAGGTTAGCACTAAGGGTTTCATTAATTCACCAAAACCAAACTAGAGCTTTCACCGCCTCACTCCGCATTCACGGCAGCGGCCATCTCCCCCCGCGTGCCCTCATCCTGCTCTGCTCGCTCCTCACTCCTTCCCGTTGTGCCATGATTAGCTTGATACCACTTTGATACTTTGAGATACAAACACTAGATAACCTATGCATGCTAGTTTTTTCATTTCATCATTCAAACCTACAACTAGCATACACCACACAAGCATGGATATTGAAATTTAAAAGCTTGTGCTATACAAGCAAATATATGAAATGCACATTCAAATGTAATATACAAGTTTATAAGCTTGCTCCCCCTACTTGTGTACAATTTGATTTGATACAATTTTGATTTGAGCCCCTTACAATGTCGTTTCATTTGTTTGCTCTCCCTATCTTACTATCTTTGTGAATTCCCCCTATCTATCTTTGTGAATTTCTCTCCCCCTTTGTCAACAATTAGCACAAAAGGTGAGCTCAAATTATAGATAGGTTGGGGTGAAACCATGTGAAATGAGGATCATTTTCTCAATTTAGTTCAATCTAGATCACTTGCAAAAGAAATTTAACTCGGTTTGATCCAAGGACAAGCTTCTTCATACCTCCAAATAAGGGTTATCTTGTACCATATTGAGTTAAACACTTATAGCTTATTTTCTAGATCAAACACTAGGTTTACATGCCCACAAACATGTCATATGCTACCACTAGACCAAATTAAGCATTGAAGCAATAGTGCTACCATACAAGCATCAAATTCATTTGATTTTACATGAATGAGCCTATTTGATGTGAAGGATGTCTAGATGCGCTAAATGTGTCCTTAGCAATGATGTATGCCATACCAATCAACTTTTACCTTGGATTGCTCGAAGAAGAGGCATGTCATATAAGTGGGGGTGCATCAACACATATTAGAGAAGTTAAGTATGTTCAATTCATTCCTTAGCTTGCAAAACCTCTTCTCATCAAGTGGCTTGGTGAAGATATCGATAAGTTGATCTTCGGTACCCACACTCTCAATGCAAATGTCCCCTTTTTGTTGGTGATCTCTTATAAAATAATGGCGGACATCAATGTGCTTTGTTCTTGAATATTGAACCGGGTTGTTGGTGAGCTTTACGACACTCTCATTGTCACATAGCAATAGCACTTGCTTGAATTTGATTCCAAAGTCACTCAAAGTAGCCTTCATCCAAAGTAATTGAGCACAACAACTACCGGCCAAGATGTACTCCGCTTCGGCGATTAAAAGTGCTACACTATTTTGCTTCTTTGATGACCAAGATACAAGTGATCTTCCCAATAGTTGACATGTGCCCGATGTGCTCTTTCTCTCAACTTTGCATCCCGCATAATCGGAGTTCGAATATCCAATCAACTCAAATCTTGCTCCTTTGGGATATCACAATCCAATATTTTGTGTATGTTTCAAGTATCTCAATATTCTCTTTGTTGCCTTCAAATGACTTTCTCTTGGTGAGGCTTGAAATCTAGCACACATGCATACACTAAACATCACATATGGCCTTGATGCGGTCACATAGAGTAGGCTTCCAATCATAGACCGATACATCTTTTGATCCACCATGTTGTCACTAGCATCACTATCCAAGCTTCCACTTGTCTCCATTGATGTACTAATAGCTTTAGCATAATCTATTCCAAACTTCTTGAGCATGTCCTTGATATAC